TCTTTAAAAATAAGAAATCTTCCAGTCCATTGTATGCTGTGTCTTTTCCCTTTATGTAAACATGTTTAATTTCTCTCAGCAGCATTTTACAATTCTCAGCCTTACAGGCCTTTCACCTCCTTGGTTAAATTTATTTCACGGCATTTTATTCTTTGGATGGTACATAATACATGGTATCATTTCTAAAATTTCCTTTTTGGGTTGTTCATTATATTGTATAAAGCACAACTGAGTATCCTGCAACTTTCCTGACATCACTTCTAACATTATAAGATTTTGTGTGTGTGTGTGTGTGTGTTTACATCTTTTGGGATATTTCATGGAATTCCATATATGTAAATCTATGACATCTTCACACAGAGATAATTCTCCTTTTTCCCTCCAATATCTGGGCTTTTTTTTTTTTCTTGTTTTATTGTTCTGGTTAGAATTTGCAGAATAGTGTTAGATACCATCAATGAAAATGGATGTCCATGTCTTATTTCTTATCTCAGGAGGAAATCTTTACTGTTTCAGCTAGGATATTAGCTATAGGTTTTCATAAATAATCTTTTAAGAGGTTGAGTAAAGTCCCTTCTCTTCTGAATATGCTGAGTGTTTTTGTCATAAGAGTTTTAGAATTTTTCAGATATTCTGCATACAACGAGATCATTATGTAGGTTTTTTCTGTTTGTCTTACTGTTAATATGGATTATTATGTTTATAGGCATTTATAGGTTGAAACTTCCATTGTTGAATTCTTGGAACAAGTCCCTCTATTTATGTTGTGTAAGTTTTTTTCTTTTCTCTCTCTTTTTTTTTTAAGATTTTATATATTTATTTGAGAGAGACAGAGCATGGGGGGAGGGACAAAGGAAGAGGGAGAAGCAGATTCCCTGCTGAGCAGGGAGCCCAACATGGACTCAAGACCACTACCCAAGCCAAAGGCACACACTCAGCCCACTGAGCCATCCAGGTGTCCCTTTGTTGTATAATTTTAATAAAACTTTCTATTCAGTTGGCTGGTGTTTTGATGAAGACTTTTACATCTGTATTAATAAGGAATATTATTCTGTAGTTTTCTTTTCTTGTGATGTCTTTGTCTGGTTTGGTATCGGAATAACGTTGGCCTCAGAGGCACCAAGGGGGTGCAGTCAGTTAAGGGTCCAACTTGGTTTTAGCTCAGGTCCTGATCTCAGGGTCATGAGATCAAGCACCCTGTCGGGCTCTCACGCTCAGCGTGGAGTCTGCTTAAGACTCTCCATGCCTCTCCCTCTGCTCTTCCCCTCCAGCACTCACTCACTTTCTCTCTCTAAAATAAATAATCTTTGGGGGGCAATAAGATTAATGTTGGCCTCTGAGAATAAAGTAAGAAGTGTTCCATCTTTTATTTCTTATAGTGCTGTTTTACTTACAAGGAACTTTCTCACCTTTTGTTTCTCTTGGAAGCCTTAAGTTCTCCCATATTCTCAAAGGACGGTGTTTCTGGGGATAGAATTGATAACAGATTTTTGTTTTGTTTTGTTTTTTCATTGTCAGCACTTTAAATACGTTATGCCATTGTCTCTGGACTTCATGATTTGGCTGAAAAATCAGCTCTGAAAGTTATTGTGCGTCCTTTGTATATGATGCTTCTCCCTTCCTGCTTTCAAAGTTCTCTTTTTTACCTTTGTCTTTCCACATATTGATTATGATTTGTTGCAGTGTGCGTCTCTGTTGCAGTTTTTCTTAATTGCATGTTCACTGAGTTCTTAGATTTGTAGAGTCTTGTCTTTTAACATTTAAGAAATTATCTACCATATTTCTTCAATAATCCTGCCTCCTCCTCTTTCTCCTTTCTTCTTGGGACTCCCATTGTTCATATGTTGGCCCACATGATGTTGTCCTGCAGCACCATTAGACCTATTCACTTATACTCAGGCTTTTTCTTTGTGCTCCTCATACAGGGTAATTGATATTGAACCTCTCTATGAAATTTTTCAATTCAGGTATTTTACATTTCAGCTTCAGAATATGTTTAGTTTCTTTTTCCACCTTCTATCTCTTTATTGATATTTTCTGTTTATTGATACAGTATTTTTCTGATTGCTCTTTAATTCTTTGTCCATCATTCCCTTTAGCTTAAACAGTTGATTTAAAGTGTGTGTTTAGTAAGTCCAAAGTTTGGGCTTCCTTAGGGCCAAGTTTTGTCATTTATTAAATATTTTTCTGTATGGGTCCTGCTTTATTGTTGTGTTGCCTCCTTTGTAACTTCTTGTTTAAAATGAGACATTTTGAATATGTTGAAACTTTGGAAATCATAATATTCTTCCTTCCAAGGGTGGTGTATTTTTTTATGTCTCTTGTGATTGTTGTGTGTGTGTGTGTTTGTTTCCCTCAACAAATTTTGTGTGGTGTATTTTCTTTTTTACGTGTAGCCATTGATGCCTTTGGTTCGCTTATTGGTCAGCTAGTGATTCAACAGATTTCTTGAAACTGCTGGAACCAAACACAAAACAAATCAACTTTCCACTCTTTGTAGATGAGTTGTGTGTGTGTGTGTGTGTGTGTGTGTGTGTGTGTGTTGGGGAGTGCATGAAACACGCAGGGTAGAAGTTTAAGACAACAGTGCCTTAGTGTCTTATCCTTCACTTCTGCTTGCTCACAATCTGCTGGTCAGCTGGAGGTATACGCGTGGGGCCTTCTCAGGTCTTTTCTCATGTGTCTGGTCCTGGGCATGCCTGCAACCTTCTAGGGTCCCTAAAATATGTGAGGGATTTTTAAAGCCTTACTCCCCCGTGCACCTCACTCCCCAGTGTTTTCCTCAGGGTTTTCAGTTTGCACATTGTTTGCCCCAGTTGTTATCCTGCCCTAGGGGGCAGTGGCTACTAGACTTACCTTTAAATGTTTGTGACGAATGGCCCCTGGTTATTATCTCCATTTAGGTAGAGATCTGAGGTAGGCCAAAGAAAGCAAGCATTTTGAGCCACTCCTTCAGGGAGCCAGCAGGCAGACTTAAGAAACAAACAAATAACCAGTCACAGTTCTTTGAAGATGCCGTCTCTTCCCTGAGGTTTGGGAAGCCTGTATCCCTTGCAGACTGCCATCTTCAAGGCCACTTCCTAGCTGGGGTGCAGGGCACAGAGTCAGGGCAAGTTACAACAGCTACCTTTTTCTTGATGAAGAGGGCGCCTTGTTGCTGGAATCCCGTGATTAATTTCCAGGGTTCTTATAAAGTTCATTCTGACAGTTTTTGGTAGTTCATCTCCTGCTGGAGTCTCCTGGAGTTCCCTTCTTTGCCATTTCCATGTCACAGAGCCCCACTGTTAATCTCTATACTATTACATATTTATCAGAACTTCTATTTCACAATGGATGATTTCAACATATTTTCCGTTTATGATATTGTGTGCTTCTCTTGAAATACAACCTCTTTCTTTTTCTCTTATGGGTGAGCTCTTTAGAATTCTGAAGTCTATATACATTTTTTAATAAATGACTGTATTAATTATTTCTGGATTCGCCTTGGGTTACTAACATGTTTATTTTTTATTATGATTAACACATAATTAATTTCTACATATATTATGGTATATAATCATAATTCACTGATTATTACATTGCAGTATGCCTCTTTTGCCTGGGTATATTTTTGGAAGAAGTGTTCAGAAGAATATTTTATTATCCTTGAATGTTTTTTTAATATTGTAGACAATTTTTTTTTTAAAGATTTTATTTATTTGAGAGAGAGATTGCAGAACAAGAGAGAGCATGAGCAGGGGGAGGTGCAGAGGGAGAAGGAGAAGCAGGCTCTCCACTGAGCAGGGAGCCCAATGCAGGGACTTGATCCCCAGGACCCTGGGATCATGACCTGAGCCAAAGGCAGACGCTTAACCTACTGAGCCACCCAGTCACCCCTCAAGAATTGACTTTAATATATATATATTTTTTTTTCAAGTATGATTCACCTCTATCCCTCCTATGAGGTTTTTAGGCTTTGGGGTGCCTATGGAAAATTCCTGTCTTTCAGGGCACTGGAACTTTTGATCACAGAGCATTTAAATAGGCTTACCTGAAAATAATTTGAACTACATGTAATCACTCTTTCATTACTGAGGAATCTTATGTTTTTTTGTGTTTCTAAACATTTGCACACCATGGTTGAGAAGCTTGATAACTCTGTTAATTATGAATTCTACTTTTGGTATAATACTTTTTCTTTTATTTTCTTTTTTAATCTTTTATTTATTGGAGAGGGAGAGGGAGAAGCAGGCCCCCCACTGAGCAGGGAGTCTGATGCGGGGCTTGATTCCAGGATGCTGGGATCATGACCGGAGCTGAAGGCAGACGCCTAATGACTGAGCCACCCAGGTGCCCCTGGTGTAATACTTTTTTCATATAAAATATCCGTCTTTATAAACTCTGGTTAATATGAAGCCTGTCATTATTTATATATTACAGATATCTCTACTAGATGTATGAGCAAAGAATTACCACCAAAAGACAACATTAATAATGGAGAATTATTCCAAACGTTGATTTTGGAAAGACACGTAAGTCATGACTTTGATGACTTTGGTTTGAGGGAAGTCCAGCAAGATGTGAACAAATTTGAGACTCAGTGGCTATATGAAGAAAAAAATTACAAAGGAATGACTACATCCCATTATAAAAATCTCACTTGTAGAGAAGACCAACAACATCACAAATTCTGGAATAATTTCCCTGTAAAGCATAGTGTTTCCGTAAGAAATAGTAAATCTCAATATTATAAACATGATATGATGAATAAGGCACTAAAAAACAAGGTAGGCTCTTCAGGAAACAAGTATAGGAACTGTTTGGACAGTGGGCTTGGATTAAGCTTTCATTCACATCTGGCTGAACTGCAAAGATTTCAAACCCAAGAGGAAATTCACGAAAGTAATCAAGTTGAGAAGTCTACCAAAAAGACTTCAGTTTCACTTCAAAAAATTCCTTCTAGTGTCAAAACCAACATTTTTAACAAATATGGGAAGGTTCTTACACATTCTTCATTACAGACACAACACCAAAAAACACCCAAAAGAGAAAAACCTTACAAATGTAAAGAGTGTGGGAAGACTTTTAGCCATTGCTCAACCTTAGCTACTCATCAAAGAATTCATTCTGAGCAGAAACCTTACAAATGTAATGAGTGTGGCAAAGTCTTTAACAGGTTCTCAAACCTCACGAGGCATCAGAGAATCCATACTGGAGAGAAACCATATAAATGTAATGTATGTGGTAAGGATTTTATGATACGTTCACACCTTTGGGGACATGAGCGAATTCATACTGGAGAGAAGCCTTACAAATGTAATGTGTGTGGCAAAGCCTTTTCTGAGTGTTCAAATCTTGTTCAACATAAAAGAATCCATTCTGGAGAGAAACCTTATAAATGTAATCAGTGTGGTAAGGAATTTATCACCCGTTCACACCTTTGGGGTCATGAGAGAACTCACACTGGAGAGAAACCTTACAAATGTAATGAGTGTGGAAAGGCCTTCTCCGGGAGTTCAAATCTTACTCAACATAAGAGAATTCATGCTGGAGAGAAACCATATAAATGTAATGTGTGTGACAAGGCCTTTAGTCAGAATTCAAGCCTTACGGTTCATCAGAGAATTCATACTGGGGAGAAGCCTTACAGATGTCATGAATGTGGGAAAGCCTTTAAGCAGTATTCAAGCCTGAGTAGACACCAGAATATACATAGAATGAAGATAAAGATGTAGAACCTGTGGTAAGGCTTTTATTAAATGTTCTCACATTTGGAGTCATGAGGGAGTGCATACTGCAAAGAAACTTTACAAAAGAATGGCATGGCCTTCATGCCATGACTTGACCTCAGGAATCACCAAAGATTTCATGTTGGGGAAAACCTTATAAACACAACGTGTGGTAAATTGCTTAAGTAGGTGGTACAATGTACTGTGCTTGAGAGAATTCTTAGTAGTGAGAACTAAATCTAGTTCTTGAAGATTAATCAAATCAAATGTTAGATTCTGCCTGAAAATTAAAAGTCAAAATGATTTAAAATTCCTGAGACAATGGGTATCAAAGGAGCAGGGGCATCTGTGGAAATGCCCACGTATCTTCAGTTTATACAGTCATTTTATTCGTTTAGATTGCTTGATGAGGTTTATTTACTTTATTATTGAATTTGGACCTGTAGTTGGAAATCTGTTAATGATGTTATGTCTTCATCACAGACTCTCCATGTGTTGCCACAGTGGTGTCTGTGATGGAACTTCTTGTTTTGGTCCTGATGTGAATGGTGTTTTTTTTTTTAAATTTTCAAGTCACTTGTTTCTTGCTGATATCTAGGAAGATAGTTAACTTTTGTATTATGACCTTGTATCTTGCAGTCTTGGTATAATTGCACATTAGTATTTTCTCTACCATACCTGTGGCGCATCATATGAGATATTTCCGAAGTTCTGGTGACAGGTGCCGCTCTGTCTTGTTCCTGGCATAAAAACACAGGACTCTCTCTTACTGTACTAATATTAAGCAAGTCTTGGCAGTCATTAAGTTCAACTTGGTCATGGTACAAATTCTGGATGTATTGTGTTGCAATCAGAGTATCCGGTTTATTAAGGTCTTGGAAGCTTCATGCATCATTGGTATTGGCATATAAAAAAAAAACTTTGCACATAAATGGAAACTGGTCCCAGCCAAAATTATAAATAATATGCCACTAATCTAAAACATGAGTACAAGTTATGAAAACACCCAAGTGTAGATCTAGATTATTATAAGAACATAGCCATCCAGCTTTTTCAGTATATCATAATGGTTAAATCATGTGCTTTGATACCTCCCCCAGTAACTTTAAGTCCCCAGTCTGCTGCTAAACAAGGAGTGAAGATAGTGAAATCACTCAACCCTGTGTGCCTAAGTTCTCCTCCTTAGAATGAAACTAGTAGTAGTCCCATCCCTGATTTTTGATGAATGAAGACTTTTAAGTGCCTTGACAGCAGAGATTCTTAATGTTGTGAGTGTTCTTTAGAATTCCCCATTCAACTCTTAGAAGGCTTTTAATGAAGCTAAAATTAAATATTTTTTTCTTAAAGATTTTATTTATTTTTGAGAGGGGGAGAGCACGAGAGAGCGGGGAGGAGCAGCGGTAGAGGGAGAAGCAGACTCCCTGCTGAGCAGGGAGCCTGACATGGAGCTCAGTCCTGGGCCCCATGATCATAACCTTAGCCGAAGGCAGATGCTTAGCCCAGTGAACCACCCAGGCGCCCCTGAAGTAACTATGTCTTAATGGGAAGTAAGCCTAAGTGAAGAACATTGGTTTACACTTGAAATGGTAAATGTAGGCGAGACTTCAGGTTCCCATGCAGCATCCCCCAAAGGAAGAACGTCACTCATTGTGAACCATCAGATGGCCTCCAGGTTTTTGGCAGTAGGAATGGTCTTCTTATCACAGGTGCTGATTAGAATCCTGGGGAATTTCTTCTTTCTTTACCAGTATATCTTCCTTTTTGTCATAGGTGAAAGTTAAGGTCCACAGATTTGAGTGTCAAGCACCTGTTTGTAGCCAGCTCCTTAGTCATCATCTTTACAGGAATCTCCAGCACAGTGACAGCTTTTGGGTAGGAACATTTCGCTGATTGTGGATGTAAATTTGTTTGCTGGGTCATAGAGTGATACTATGCTATATTATGTAACGTGTAACTATCTGAGGAACCTGGGTGAAGGGGTGAAGTTTACAAGGACTTTTTCATACAGTCTTTGCACATTTTGTGTATCTGTAATTACTTCAAAATAAAGAGTAACGAAAGGCAACATGATGTGCTGTGGCTTTTAGAAAGTTCAGGGGCAGTTCTTTGTTCATATGAGAATAAAGGACATTATAGGTACATTCAGAAGTCATTCTTAAAACTTAAATTCTGAAAACTTGTCACCTCCTTGGTAATTTTCCAGAACACCGTAAATGGGATATGCCTCCACCCCACATAACGTGCGGCTTACTCTGCTTCTAAGAACTGAATCAGCAGCACAGGAGTAGAACCAAAGGATTGGATGTTCAAAGTGTTTGCTTTATTCTGCATTGGTGGATACTTTGTTCTGGAACCACCTCTAATCTTGCATGAAGTGGGCAGAGGGTCTGAGGAAAGGGGAAGATGAGTCCGGAAGTACCACTGAAATTCTCTTAATTGTCTGAATGAACGAAGCTTCCATCTTTCCCTTAAGAAAAGGGTCAGAAACTCCTCATTCTGGACAGAGGTTCTCAAGACACAATAGAAAAGGCAGAGCTACACAAGGAGAGGTCCTGCCTTGGGGAGGGAAGCTGCCCTCACACAAGACAACCAGTTTTGTGTAGGGCTCTAATATCATGACTGTGCCTACAAGCTCTCTGAGCAGGGTCTGTGCAGTCCCTGTGCTTCTAGGAGAATACAGTGGAGTACTGGTGAACGTCACAGTCCCTGAAATGAAATATGCACACACACACACATACATTTTCTAAAGTGGCAATGGGAAGATTCTTTTGTTTTCACACATTATGAGACAAGAATAGGAGTATAAGGATTGGTTCTGGCGTAGTGTGAGGATTATTACTTGAGTTTGGTGGCAGAACTTCTGGATCCTGACTTTGGAGAAGTTTGACCTTTGTAAGTTTCAGATTGCTCCTTCAGGGTGTTGCCTTCCCTGTAAGGCTCAGTTGCACATTGTGTGGGGACCTTTCTGTAAAATCATATGATTGATGGAAGGCATTGTACATGCATGTGCCTTCCTATACTAGTTACAGGTCATGTGATATAGTATCCTAATTCAGGTGCTTCTCCGTTTCATCTTGAGAGCATACCCCCCCAAAAGCTATTCTCAGTCACCCACATCATCCCTCTGCATTCTGCCTTCACCCCTGTAACCTAATCTCCTGTTGTCCTAACCTGGAGGGTTTGCCTGAGGATAAAAGTGAGGTAACATGACACCTGCGATTTCTTAGACACAGCTGATTAATCTCTTTTCCTCACATGACCAATGCAGTCCCAGGACTGCAGTAGAGTCTGGGGTTGTCATAGGAGAGAGAATTCACAGGGAATGTTAGAAGAAAGAAAGCTTTAGGATAGAGATTAGAGGGTTTTTTAAACAGATGAGGGCCTCCCAAACATGTCAGCCTACAGAAGACCCACAGTGGTACCATGCAGTGGCAGTTACAAAACAGCTTTGGTGCACTTGGCTGGCCTGGTAGAGCACGTGAGTCCTGATCTCGGGGTTGTGAGTTTGAGCCCCACGTTGACTGCAGAGTTTACTTTAAAAAAAAAAAAAAAAAAGAAAGTTTAAAAACGAAAATACAGGCTTGATCAACAGCTTGAATATAGTCCATTTCTTTAGTGAACAGGTGTTCGCCCACCATGGCTTCTGAATGAGTGAACACAGATGATTATGTCAGCACCAGTGATTTGTTTCTGCATCTTACACAAAGATTGGTGCCCTTAATCTCAGTCTGTAGTTTTTCAAGTGGCAGGTCAAATAACTCCAGCTTGGGCGATAGCCCAAGATCCTGGATTCTGACCACTGAGTAAAACAACCACATCAGCTCTCATTTCTGCATGTCCAACAGAGAGGCTAAACATCCAGCCTGGTGAATCCATGAGGTTTCAGCTTTGGTGAACCATCAGTGGACCAGTGTCAGACAATGAGGGGAATCTGGGATCACTGAGGTCCTCACGGTGCCAGGGGCTCTGCTTCAGGCTGCAGATATGACTTATTCCTATAGAGCTGAGATGTTACTGATGCCAGTCAGGATTCACCCTTAAATATACCTTCTCCATTTGACCAGCAAGTCTTTTAGGACCTCTCTGCATTGTTGGTTGTAGGGTTCAAGTTGCCTCATCAACATGGGAATGTTACACCAGACAGTCACAAGTCCTGAATGGATCATGCTTCACTTTTGACAAATGTTCGGTAGCAAGCTAATGGCTGCTTTTCGAAAGCAATTTACCTGTTATGTCAAACCTGAGTTCAGGGGCGCTTGAGTGGCTCAGTTGGTTAAGCATCTGCCTTCGGCTCAGGTCATGATCTCAGGGTCCTGAGATTGAACCCCGCATCGCCTCAGGCTTCCTATTCAGCAGGGAGTCTGCTTCTCCCTCTCCTTCTGCCCCTCCCCCTTGCTCGTGCGCTCTCTCTTTCAAATAAATAAAATCTTTAAAAACAAACAAACCTGAGTCCAAACCCCAAGGGAGCCTTCCAGATGGAGACTGCCCGCCTTTGTCAGAGACTCCAAATGGCGGAATCTGGCAGAGTTTTGCATTGTCTCTGATACTCCAGAAGTCTATTAAAGGGCTGGGCCTTTTTGTTTTTTTTGATGGTGGTCGTGGGCAAGATACAACAGTGTATTTTTCTTTATTGCTAGAATGAGCATTGCACATTGCCCATATAATTCCAGTAAACTGTCATTGGAAAAGGACTCTGAATTTGTTACATTTTATCAGCCTTACCTACTGGCAGAGAAGGAATGTCCTAGACAGGGCTATTGAGACTAATGTCTCTAACTTTCCAACAAACAATTCATCCACATAGGGAAACACTGACAGCAGAGGGTTGAGATAAATGTAGGATATTCTCACCCATACACTGAAAGGAAATGCCTGGGGAGTTTGCTTCACTAACACTGTTCTCCCTTCAGCCCACCCTGAAGAATGTGGATAAATAATGGAATCTCATACAAATGGTGATGGTTGTGAAAATTGGTAAAACATTTTGAAAAGTATTGGAAGTATGAATGAAAGCTGAACAGATGCAAGCCTATGACCATGAAATTTACTATTCCAACAGAAATTTGTGCATGTGTC